CATCTTCTCTGGATATGAGAAATGCTGGCAATCCTTGCAGCAACATCCTTGTGATAATGTCCCTCACTTTCTAGACCTTCTTTTAAGATTTTTTACAGGTTACTCAGGAAGTGTGCTCAAACCACATGATTTATTTCCTCAGATAAACAGTCCTTAAGATTTTAGGTTGCATATGTGGAATCTTATTTATTCGAATAAAAAAATAAATTAATAATTTTTAAAAATTTCAAATTTTGTTATGATGTATGCAGAAACCAAAAAAAACAGGAGCAAAGATGAAAGTAGAAGGTCAGAGCAAAAGGAAAACGCCAAACAGGAGACAAGCAAGAACTAAGGGTTTATCAGCTGGAAGGAAGCCAGTTCAGGGAACAAAAGATGAGACCAAGAAAGTCAAGAACACTCCCAAACAGACTAAGAAACAGCTACAGGGTGTTCATGACGTCAAAGGTTATGCTACCAGGTCAAAGGTTACCATGAATGGTGAGTAACTCCTCAATGTCACTTCAAAGGTTAACCTTCCAGAGGCCTGGCTGTTGAGAGTGGAGATTGTTTCAAGGGAAGTTATCCATGCTTGAAGTCCTTCTTGTCAGAACACATAAAAATTTCTCAACAAAACTCAAGAAAGCTTTATGGATGTGATATAAATTCTGAGAAATTTATTGGAAATATTCCTAGTTGTTTCCTGGTAGGAATCAGCATTTTGTGTGAGGGGCAATCAAGGTGAATCATTTACAAAAATATTTTTGGAGTTTCCAAAGACTCCAATTTTTTCCAAAGTCTTTAAGTGGTTTCCATTTCAAGAATTGAGTACATGCATTACAATGTATTCACCATTGATTCTGACCTTTACCTTGCTTAGCTGTGCAAGTTTTTTCTTTTAAAATAATATCGGCATTTCTTATCTCTTCATAGACCTGAAGAATCCAAAGAAGACTCGGTAATTGATAGGAAACCATTCGCTACAAGTCAAACACAACTTATACTGGTACTTTATTTGTAATAGATTTAATAAGTACATGTACTTGGAACTATTCTAACTTCTTGTCAGCTTTCTTTTATTTACATTTGATAGTCGAAGGTACAAAGTTTAGTTGATTGTATGTAGTGTACATTTTCATGATCATAAAAATGGATACAATAACTTTGCTAAGAACTTGTAAATTCAAGATCTTTTATTCTAAAAATAGACTATGTCACTTCCCTCTTAGTCAAGTAAAACTCAGTTTCAAACGTTTGATATGAAATTTAACCACTCATCAATCCAGCTGGCTTCTGGTTACCGCAGTGTATTTGTAAATAGCCTTGACAGATATTTCTCACAAATAGAAGAACTTGTTATAGAGTGACAAATCAGTAGAACCACACTTGGAACTTTCTCAGGCCGTCTTGATAAGTAGATTACCGTAGTTTCCAAATCGAATTCACCAAGTTTATTTTTATAACTGGTAATCTTTCTTTACATAATGCACAGGTTACAGTGTGTTAATATTACAGTAAGAAACGTTCTCATAAAAAAGATATCCTGAAATATCAGTAGTCTCCTGCATTTAGCTAGGAAATGTGTTTTATTTTGTAAATATTTTGTAACTTGATCTTCACAGTACTCTTAACGATTTTCTGTTGGAAACAAGCTATCCGATCCATCCCTTCAGGTTTTTTTATTCTGTAAATGGGATATGATTCAGCATTATCGACCTGAATTCCACTATGTGTTTACAATTAGACTGGGCCTGTAGCCCAACCCTTGCGTGAGATTATTCTCAGACTTGGGAAACTTCCGATAATGGTTAGAACATTTGCAGGCAATTGGAAAAGGGATAACAAAGTTTTGGCTCCTAAACGTTGCTTCCAATTATTTTTCCAACTTTGATGAATATACATTGTGTGTACCTTGACAGCCTGCTACTATCGATGTACATGTAAACCCTCGTTCAGTGTGTTAACTTGTAAAATTTTGTTTTACTCAAGCATTATACAAATGACAACATTAACTTTATGGAATTTCGTAAGTTTCGTACACCGAGACATCACCATGTGGTGAGGATGTGGTCGTAGCACTCTCTAGGCCCAAATAATCCGTGTACTCATTCTCGTCCGTGCGGGGTTGATGGTCCTTGCCAGTCAAGTCTAAGTAGTCATTATGACCGTCATTAGTGGCCTCGAGACTGGTGTAATTGCTGTTGAAGTGGAATGACGAAGAAGTCGATGGGTAATCATAGTGAGCAAGACGGGGTGGGAGAGGGGATGGCTTGGGTACAACTTGAGAGGAGGATGTCGAGTTTTCTTCGTTCTGGAGATGTTCTGGAGAAGAGGAGATAGAAATGTTTCTTTTGCGTTTGTGTTCAGTGTATTTACAAATGACCACTAATAACATCACAAGTAGGCTTACTATGATGATGGGAATGATCACAGCTGGTAGCGTGGTTGTTGTCGATGTGTTCTTATTAAAGAATGTGTCATTCGTTACTTTCATTGTTTCGATCATGATCAGCATTGTGGATGATGATTCGTCACCAGTAAGCCCTGATGCTATCTGAGCAAGACATGTCACATTCAGTGAGCCGTCTTCTTTCTTGAAGTTCTTAATCCTCAGTATTCTCCCCTTTTCTTCTACATCATACCAGTTCTTGGGTATCTGTGGATGTATTCTCCATTGATATTCAGTCACGGCAGGGACTCCAGTCCCATTACAAGTCAATACAACTTCACTGTTTTCCACTACCCTTACCCGGCCAGATGGTTTGATCCATGATGACGGTGGGATACTAAGCGGCGTTATTGAGCATTCTCCTCCTACCTCTCGCCCGAGATCACCCAGATCGGGATACTGCAATTTACAGGTGAATTCCACGCCGTTGTCTTCAGGGCTGAGAAGAATACTCAACTGTGTCTGTTCTTGCCGTGGTTGACTAATAGCGTCGTCAGAAAACTTCTTGTACCAGATGAGTTCAGGTCTCAGTGAGCCTTCAAAGTCTTGTTCCGTGTCTCGCAAGCATTTGAGGTAAACTAAATCTCCCAGTTTTGGATGCTGTTCGTAAGCTGTTACATAAGATGTTGATAACGTGCATGTCGGTATGGAACTACTATTACCGCGCTGATTTGGTTTTACAGTTAGTTTGGCAGTGGCAAGATGGGCCTGCTTTTTGAATAAGAAATCTTTGAAAATGCCGCAGCTGTATGTCCCAGCATCGGTTACTCTAACATCACTTATCTTGAGTGTAAAATTGGAAGTCGACGAATCGCTGAGGATCCTATACCTTTTTTGCCTGTCTTGATCAATCACTGGGCCAATCAAATCATTCAAGCTGATAATTTCATCAGTTTCGTTCCTGTACCAGTAGACAAAGTTGAATGGATTAAGCTGACGAAACACGCATTTCATTATCACTGTCTTCCCTTCGATGACGCTAGTGTTCCGTGGACCCTCCTGCAGGGATACCTCCGTTTCAGCCGTCAGTACGGCGCCGCACAAGAACATAAGACCGATGAATGTGTAATAATGCATCATGTGATGGTCTGAAGACGCATACCAGTTGAAAATGGTCAGTGCTGATCTCATCGAGTCACACGCCTGGCAATATTTGCCTTTAAAGTTTGAGATATATTGCCAACATTTCAGTTTATATCTTGAGCTCCTCCGCCATGCAAAGGAAATCCTTTGAAGGTAGCAATGGAGAGCTTGTTTTTAAACGGATGTTGGCAGTGTCGATGTCAAATAGGTGCGGCAGTACTGGAACAGTAACAGCCGGTCAATGATCAGGAAACTTCGAATGGGCTTGACTTAGTATTCGAATTGATATACAGTGGATTGGAAGACTGCGTCATCATTCAGCCGCTGACGAATCTCACTAATAAAGAATTATAGGCTGAAAAGTGAGGAAGGTGTCACTGCACTGCGCGCCATGGTGAGATAGGTACCATGACGATGTGACATAAAGGGATTTCAACTAATACTGGGGTTAGGAGGACCACTTGTTCCGTACATAGGTTACTCACAGAGGAGTGGACAAACTTTTACTTGTATATACTTGTGGGAAATTAGAGGAAATGATTAATGTCATTTTTACTTTAGAACTTGAGAAATCGCATCGGACATGCTCTTGAAGACATGTTGGGTGACTATCCCAGTGGAGCCAGTGTTTAGTGTTCAAGACTGGACGCACCATCTAGGGCCTAATCGATACCCAACCCGACAGGATTTATAGTTAGAAGGGTCAACCGCCCCCTCCCCATGTCGCGTTTATTGTACCTGACTCCATTTGCTCCTTGACCGTTATCAAAGGACAATATTGAATGGTCTACAGGTGCATTTTAGTGCAATCAGGGGCGGATCCAGGGGGCACCTCCCCCCTTTCACCTCCAAAAATAAATTAAAACAAAAAAGAAGAAAAAGGGGGAGAGCGAAGGAAACAAGAGGGTTACTGCCTGAAATGGAACCACCTACAGGGCGCCTAGACTCCGAAATGGCTCTGGACCCTAACTACGGGCATTTTACCATCAGTACTGCTTTAGTTCACCCCCCCCCTTTAAAATTCTAGGATCCCTGCCCCCCCCCTTTGGGAAAATCCTGGATCCGCCCCCAGGCGCGGATGATCTGTCGTGCGCACAGAGGAAAATCACTTTACGAACTAAGAAACCAACACTTTCAAAAGTGCGAGCAGAAAAAAATTAGTTGGGCAAAATCACCGTGGGTGTTCCGGCATGAATTGGCAATTATGTCACATACGTCTGACAATACACTCCTGCTTAGTGGTTTCCCGTCCTGCTGAGCTGTCTCCTGAAACGTGCTCTTTTATCTGACTCCCTCCTCTTGTGAAAGCATACGCCGGGGAGAAGAAAAGGATCAGTGATGACCAATCGACCTTTTCCAAGTTTAGTTGAGCGCGCTTATGGAAAGGACAAAAGAAAGGGTGACCCTTATGTTATACTTGCCGAATGAAATGGTGTAAACAAACGAAAAAGTAGTCATGCAAATCTGATTTTTTAAAACGAAATAAATGACATCCCGCCCGTTTACTAGCCTTTTTTACTAAATTCGTTTTGATTTAGCAGCCCCTGGTTTATTCCCAAAGTGGCCATTTTTTAAGAGTCTCATTTTTATGGTTTAACGTGCCGTAACAAATCAAATGACCAACTCTAACGGAAATCAGACACATCAAATAATGAAGCAAATTATGCGGGGGAAAAGTTCAAAATCATAATTATTAGACATTCAAGCACTCTCTGAACGGTGAAATCAACATTGACTGTTAATTTGGCTAAGTGAAACAAAATGACCAGTTAATCAGTCGGAGTTTTCATAAAATTGAAGTAAGACGAGTTGGACCAACTATTTTTTTCCACACTACAGAAAGAAGCTTTCACATTAAGCTTTAGTGGGCAAACTAGTTTCTGTTCAAAATGGATGCTAGCTAGGTTTTTAAGTATGCCATAACCCAAACCGTGTTTTATTGTTGTTTTTTTAAATTCAGCAGGCTCTTGCGTTTTTCATTGCAACTAGATTTCGACATAGTGGAAAAAAGATTTAGATTGAAATTATTGACTTTTGAGGGATAAGAAAACAGGAAAGGCATGGCTTGAAAGGGACGATCATCGCCAAGTTTAGTAAAAAAGAAAAAAAAGGGTAAGTAAAAGGGCTGGATGTTTTTTTTATTTTTCATTTTCCGATACCCCAAAAACATTTTCAGGTTACTTATTTAAAACTTTGGTGTTCAAAAAAGCAGAAATTCGAAGAAAAATATGCTGCAAATGCAATCATGCATGCGGGAAGTTAAACACGTGTCAAAAACTTTAAAATGTTTGTTGTGTTTGAAAACTTATCAACCGTCGCCCACTTCACCCAGCTGATGAAGATGTACTCGTTTTCAACTTATTTAATGGAGGTTCTTTGAAAGTGTTGGTTGGATTTCAAGCGATACTTTATAGTTTTGGCTGTTTTCACCCATTAAAATACCCAAACAAACGATTTAATCGTTCACCGATAATTATGATGTAATGTCACGAACGATGACACACAACCCACCAACCTAGGGTTTCCCAGTCTCGATCGGATACACGCCCAATAAAATCCATGGTGGGTCCTTGCATTAGAAAATCAATTATACGTTGACATCCATTGTACTTGACTAAAAAAATTATGATAAATGGTCTAAATATACACCCATACAATTTTGAAAGTATTTTGGTACATTATAATGAATTTTATTTTCAATTGTTTTTCTACAATTTGGAGTAATAATAATAGGGCGTGTGTCCCCGGGTCGATGTGACGTCATCCCCGGAAGTATGGCCGCGCAAATTTTTTAGTTAAGGTCACGTGACAACGGCTTTGTGAACTCTCCGAAGCAGGTAAACGACACAGCTTTTGTTGCCAAATTTTAATACATTTTGAACGTATGTTCCTCTTTTGACTGACACATTTTTTTGTAATCGTCATTTGCAGGATTTAAGGAAGCGTGAGTTGCTCAGTTCTTTGAGATATTCTCAGCAAATAATCAGAAAAATAGTTTTCAGCATGGCGTCATCTCAGCTAGATTGGAACTGCGTGTTCATCATGTGCGAGTTGCCTATGTCATGTTATTGTTCGTTGGCAAGCATGCGTCATTGGAAATGTATTGCGTGTATTGATCATCGTGTAGCGATAAACATTTCAGTGTCTTTAGAAAATATCTGTTTGAAAATACCATTGATGTAAATGTTTGAGCTTTATCAAGCTTTGAGGTTGTTAACCAAGGCTTACAGGAAAACATAATGTACGTTTGTGGAGATTTACAGGCTTGAAACTTTAACGATGAACTTAGGATTTTTCTCAAAAGTCGGGCGCCGGCGACCGTAGTGTTTACCATATTTACATGTACTACTAGGGCCTACATGTAGGCCTGTAACAAACAACTTCTTGTAAATGTGGCCTTTGTCAGTGACATATTTCATTGGGAATCTTTCACCTTTGACAGTCTCTTGACACAGAGCAATCCTTGCTCTTTGCTTGACTGATATCATCATCTGAATTTTGATGCTCATAATACATGTTGTTGAAATTGTGTTGCTGTCGCCAGAAAGACATGTGGTTAAACTTGATATCCTGGCATGTGCCTGGTCGCAAAACCTACAAAGTAACGTGTGTGACCTTATAGTCACCAGGCCCCTTGTTTTGCCTCCTACTGTGAAAACCAATCAGGGTTGACAGTACTAGGTGATGAATTAAGGACCTGGCGACTATACAGTCACGTACGTTAATAATCATCATGATCATGCTAGAATGAGACTGGTCTAAAGGATTGTTAAGAGTGTTCTAAATAAATGTTTCGTCATTTTCTTAGTTGACTTAAACTTTTAGGACATCTTATTACTTTCTAATGGCTGATAGGTCACTGCATGGAAAAATTTGAGATGCCCATATATGGATTGATTGTTGAATATTTCATTTTGTGTCAGCACCCAGCAAAATTTGATGTTGTCCTTAAGACAAGATGGTGTTGATGAACATGAGTGTAACTTAAGTAAGATATGTTTCACAAAAGGGGATAAAAAGATAATGGTAGAATTATCGGCAAATTGTGCAGTGCAGATCCCACAAAGATGGAGCGATTATACAGATTAACTGATTGATCCCAACAGTGAGATGTTTTCATTTTCTAAATTTAAGGTGGACAAGTTACTTAATGTGTAATCTTAAATTTTTATTTTTTGGAAGTAAATAATTTTCCTTTTAATCTTCCTTTTCATTCTTTCCTTTTTACAGAAAACAAACCTTGTACATACATTGTTTTGTATATACTGTATATGATGTCCTCTATGGGTTCCACCAGGGGAAACACACGAAGTGGGGGGCGGGACAAACCCGCCTCCAAATCCACCTCACAGACATCCAACAAGTCAGGGGCAGGTGACACACCTGTTGGCAAAAAGGTAAGCAATTGCCAAAATCTGGGTGTAGTGGTGCTTGAGGGCGCTGTGAGTGACAGTTCCTTGTGTGTCTGAGGACATGGAATGTGCTTGTTTCAGTCATTGAAATAAGCTAAGTAGAGAGCTGTGTGCTTCCTTCAGAATGATTGTAAGTGGGATCAATGACTAACCCTGCTAGAACAGTAATTCAGTAGCCAATCAATATACTGTTAGTATTTCTGCTCAAATTGTGTTAAGTATAACTAGCATTTTGTGTCAGAATTGGACTAATTGTTATGGAAAGGACTTTATTACATTTAAACCAATTCTTGTGCCAGAGTTTAGACATTGCACACCATGATCATCATTGGCTGTCATCCAATTTGTATTAAATAAAATGCACGAACATTGTAACACATTGCTCACATTAATGGGATTCATGTGCATAAGAAATGCATGTAAGTGTCATCAAGTTACAATACTATTCCATTCAACTTTAGATTAGCAAATATTGTAAATGTTCCTAAAAATCACTTCGTAAGTCCTGTATATGCTGTTTGTAGGAACCATGGTTGGACTGTACCATGGTGAAGCCATCAGATTATCAACCCCGATGTTGGAATCTGATGGATGTATTCAAGGTTTATTTAGTTTTATAATATGCAGGTGTCGTGAAGCACAGATAGTGCGCTGATGATTAAGTAAAAGAGATGATTTAGAACCATAAGTATGAACTAACAAAGTTACGTTTTGCAAGTTGACCAAATTTAACGTTGAACCTTACTACTGGACATATATTCTTTATTGACGTATTTTAGCACAAGCAACAATGCCGGGTGCATTGAAGGATCAGTATTGATTACCATACATGTCTATTCATTCCATAGTATTTCCGCCACTGTCAATATTTTTGCTCTCCTTACACAAGATACTGCCAGTTTATAGAAGATCACTGGGACTTTACTTTTAATATTGCTAAACTCAGTCATAACTGACATTTAATATTGGCATTTGACTCTATTAAAATAAATCCATCCTTGAATGACTTACAGGCAACACCGGACCAAATACGTCTAGCCCAGATGTTTTCCGACAGTTCCAGCAACAACAAAGTGGATGAAAAACTGATGGAAAAAATCAAGCAGGTAAGTCAGTCAACATTTCATTATCTTTGGCAGAGCCTCGAGAATTTCCTGCATGTTAGTTTTTTAAAGAGTATCATGCCAAACTTTCCATGTAACTGAATGTTTGATCACTTTGTGGTCCAATTTGGTTGTGATACATTTACATGTTTTACCAGCTGACAGTGATGAACTTGGTACTTAAATGATAAAGACACCTGTACTTGCAAGCAAGAGGTCTATGGTTCTAGCTGCACCGAATCAAACTTGTAAATGCATGTTGATAAAAGTTACATCACTGTGATGCAATCGGGTTCCATCTATAGTAAAAGAAAATTCTCAAGCACTAAAGTTAAAAGAGTGGATTGTTGATCCTGCTTCATACAAGAATAGTATTTCGCTTGACTTTTGAATTGAATTGTTGGCAAGCTGACAGAAAATACATGAGTGATGTATGTTTCACTTAAAAATAATTGAATACAAAGTGATGTCTATGTAAAAATGTTTGGTGTTCGTTTTTTAATACTTTTGAAGTACAGTATCTTATAAATGAAAAAGTGTACTAATTAATTATTAGGAAGTAAGACAGGTGACTATGTACACGTTTGACGGGTGTGTGCAGTGTGTGACTGTTACTCAGAGTTGCAACAGTGTATTGATATTACATGATATGCCAGCTTTGAAAAAAGAACCTGTTTGATTGTACAATGAAGATGTGTTTGAATGATATTACACAGGTACAGGATGTCACCCACAAGAGTGAAGATGAGATCATGGTGGCCCTTTATGACTGTCAAGAAGACACAGAGAGAGCTATCAACCTCCTCCTTGAGAGAGTGGATGGAGATCAGGTAGAAAGGCCTTAGTCATACTGATAATCAGTGGAATCCACCATTCAACAAAAACTCATCAACTAATGGGACATGCATAGAGGCATAATGTCTATGAATTTTTCCTGTGCATATTTCTCAAGTCCAAAAACATGATATATCACATTATTGTAATCAACTATTGTTTCATTTCAAAGGGTAAATTGATTGCATACAATGAACCTTTGCTCATTTGGCCATAAGCTAAGGGTTGTAATGACAAGTTGAAAAACAAAATGTGCGTAAATGTTTTTCCTTTGACAGTGACAATTTGGTCATTTATATTTTACATTTCTTCTGCTTTCTTATTGTCAGGGGGAATGGGAGACCATCGGTAGCAAGAAGAAAGTGAAGAGTTCTGGGTCATCCTCTCGAGGCAGTAATAGTACCTCCGATAATACAGCCAAGGAGGGAAGAGGAGAGAAGGAAGGAGGCAGTCGAGAGAAAGGAAGCAAGGAGAAGGAGTCACGAGACAAAGACAATAAGGAGAGAGATGGAAACTATCGTGGGCGTGGCCGTGGAGGAAGAGCCCAGCTTCCGCCAAGAATGACTAAAGGTGAGCAAGGAGGCTGGCAAATCCTCCCAGAACTTGAATATTCATGAGGAGGAAGAGCCCAGCTTCCGCCAAGAATGACTAAAGGTGAGCAAGGAGGCTGGCAAATCCTCCCAGAACTTGAATATTCATGAGGAGGAAGAGCCCAGGGGTTATTACCTTACATGGAACTGTGTACAAACTATGTTCACTGGTTTCCTGCTGTGGGAAAGATTTTGAAGGATTAGGGTGACTCTAAGCAATTACAGGTAGAGGTAGTGGTGCCTTGATGAAGAACATTTCCTGATGATTTTTGTTTGGATTGAATAATGTAGGTCGAGGACGAGATGCTGATTCTTCTAGCAGAGACCGAGATAGGAACGATCAGAGTAACAAGTGGGAAGGAAGTGAAAGTGGTCGAGGTCGTGGTCGAAAGGCTCATGGTATGAAGTCACCTTGTCTTCTACTGATAGTGTTCAAAAACCATTTGAAAACAAGATGATTTGTGGCTGGAAATTCCAATGAGAGTGATCATTTTGCTGGACAGTATGGCATTGTGATACTGGAATCCGCTATAGAGTACCGAAGTGAATACATCATGCGCACAATGATGTGTGTAAAAGGCATTAGCGTGAGAACCAGCACGTAAACCAACACACGCGCATATTCCATTCATTTGCACACACTTCCTGGTTCCACATGACGACACACTTCAGTGCTCTGTACCTATAAGAGTTCCAATTTAGCAGTGGGAACCAGTGTAACTATTACATTTGTTTTTTAAGAAATAGGACTTCATTGTGAACTAGCTGAAGGGTGAAAGATGAAATGATATTAACATACAGTAAACAAAATGTGTGAATTCCAGTCTATTTATTTGTAGCTTAATTTCTTTGCTTGTAAGTTGGAAGTGTGGGCCCAAAATCCTCATGTAGGAACATTTGTGTGGCATGCCGCAACACGTCTGAATGGGCCGGAGCCCAGGAACAGCTGCATCAGTTACCAAAAATTACAATATATTGACCAACCTCTATACAGAACAATTTGTGTGGACCAATCTTGTTCATTGCACTGACGTTGTTCTGTTCAACTTAAAGATTTGATAAAAATAAATACCACAGCAACATAGACTTTTTCCCCCATAATTTGTTCATTTATAAAAATGTTTCATTTTGTTGCATCTTTTAGAACAAAACACTTGTATTTATGCCCAAAAATTGAATGATTAGCAAGATTTTGATGGACAACAAAAATCGAGACTAAAATGGTAACTTCCATGAAATCATGTTTGCCTTGTAGGATCCAAGAGTTCACTTGGTTCTTGTCGTAATGCTTTCAATTCCATTAAAACCAAGCCAGTAGAATATCATATGCAGCAAGGAATTCTTTTACTCTTCTTTCCAGTGACCTTTTGTGAAATTTCAAACCTTTTTTGTACTTAAGGAAGTAATATTTATGAAAAAATATTTGTTCATTTGATTTTTTTTCCAGATCAAACGAACGGTCCATCAAGGCGTGGTAGAGGTCCAAGGAACTTTACAAATCCTAAATTTGGGTAAGTGAAACTGTTGAAACATCAACTTAGCACTATCATTAAGTGATTTCTTTCTTTCTGTGAAATAAGCACAGAAGTAAGATTCTTAATTCTGAAGCAGTATTTTATATTTTGATGAATATGGATATGTGTGGAAGAAAACATTGAAACTTGTTGATTGACTAATTACATGGTAGATCCTTTTCATGCTTGTCTTATTTATGCATAAAGAGAAATTGATACTAATATGTTTTGTTCTGAAGTAATTTTAACTCAAAATAATTATTATAGTTGAAACACATTTTATTTGGAGCTATTTCCCTTGAATCTACAGGACATTTGAGCAGACAGATGCATTTAAACCAGGTGATAACGTGTGGACAAACCCCCCGGATACTACCAATGACACCAGTAAGTTACATGTCTGGTCTTAAGATACGAATTTGTTCTTTATCCAATTGCACATCTACCCAAGTCTAACACCTTGTGTTGCAGGATTTTGATGGATGTAAGACCACACAAACATGTCACTGATATTCTACTTAAGGATTGATGTCCCAATGTTCCTAGCACCAAAAAATGTGACACTGAATTTTTGCTGATGGATCATTCCGATTCTTTAAGTCTGTGCATTATGAAAGTTTGCAACTGAACTTTGACAAAAAATGTTGTAGTAAGATTCCCACAGAGTGGTGGATGAATTTGGGACACTTCCTTCTAAAGGCAGTTAAACCAAGTAACGATTTCACAGTATTTAGTTCAAAGCATTTCTTGTCTGGTATCAATGTGTATTAGTGTCACTGAGCCATTACGTCTAACCAATAATTGTAGTGGGTGATTTCACTGTTTCAGCCTGGGATGGAAGTGCTGCAGCAACGGATAGTTGGACAGCTGATGATTGGAGTGGAGATGTAAGACACACAAACAATGGCAAAAATGGAGCTCCTCTTGTCATTTATTGTATTTACTTGAAAATTCCTAGAAATCTGGAAAAGTCACCAATGACCTTTCCCTCATACAGGATATGAAAAATGAACAGTTACAGAAACACTTTCTTCACAATTTGCATTCTTGGAACAGGAGAAATCCAAAAATATGCCGGCCAAGCTGTGCTTGTCATGTTAGGCTTAGTTTATGGTTGACACAAGTTCTCTTTTTGAGTTTATCTTGTTGCTGATGTTGTCTTGGTCATTTTAGATGCCTTAGGTATTCCACTTTTGAATCTGTTTGCTCAGTGATTTGTATCAATAAATGATCTCTTTATTTGCTTGGATGTAGCTGGCAGAAAGCAAGGTGTTTACACCAAGTTCCAACCAAGCGACCACAAACTCTGTCGATTCTGCTGAGCCTACAACAGTTCCTGAGCAGTCATCGCTGTCCACTGACACATCAATGCCACCATCTATGCCAGCAACTATGACATCAATGGCTCCCTCTGTGGGTCAGACTATGGCAGTGCAATCATCAGTTGGGCAGCAACAGCAGCAGCAGCAGTCTATGCAGGCTACCATGCAACAAGCCAGTGTCATGTCTTCGATGCCACAAAGGCAAGTCTATATGAGCATTTTATTGGACATCACGTGCTATGAAGATTATCAGAAATGTGTATTACAGTGTTGTAATCGCGTACCAAGTTCTCTGACAAATATTTAACTAGTTAAGAGGGAACAAAGCTGACGCACATGGACATTTGATGGTACATCACAAGGCAAGATTGTAAAGTAAAATGATAACTTCAGACTATTACTGTTGCAGAAAAATTAAGTTTAAGGACAAAAGTTTAAGGACAAAAATACTTAGCCAAGTAATTTCTAAATACTTTTCTCAAAATTTAAATTTTACAAAAGTAGGAGTGTCTGAAGTCTCACATTTAGTTTATAATCTTCCTTTGTGCATTTACCATCAAATTCCTATGTACTCCAGCTGTATTCCCTCATACCCAGTTCAATATTTGGCAGAGAACCTGGGTACTCCAAAAGTACTCAACTAGAACTCTGGACTGTATCAACTGTGTAAGAGGATGCCATTACCTAGCAAAGAGATTGATTGAAGGCGCTTAATGTCTTTTTCTTTAAAGAGGGTACTTGTTACAATATTCAAGAATTTTTACCGTACATGTTAAGTAATTCAGAGCTTTTAACCGCAACAATTCTTAATCTTCCAATTTCTTTGGCTCAAAAGCCTTTGATTTACTTCAAACTTCTTTCTCCTGACATGATATTTTGGTGGTGTTTCAGGGATGTTATGAATAATTACAGCATGGAGGACTCACGTTCCAACAATCCTCCTGAGAACTTCACCAGGTAAGCGAGCTCATCTACTGATTAATCAATGTTGAAAGAACTAAAAAGGTACTGAGACTTTGCCCGTTTCTGATAAACATTGATATACATGGATATTGTAAGTAATGAAAGTAAATGGGCTTGACAGGTCTAGGGAAGACAATCTCCTGGAAACTTGTGATGCATCCATTACACATGTACATTGACAAAAGTAGAAAATAGTTGTTTTGCAGCTGAGAATTTTCTTTTTTTTTGCTTTTTTTTTTTTTGCTTTGCAGTAGAATGCCTACTTTGAATCTTCGTTGAATTTGTAACAAATTTGCACAGTGTTTTATATTCAAACATCCCAACAGCAACCTGTTTTTGATTGATGTCCATTTGGACAGGATTGATTTGGCAGCATTGTTTGGTAAGCCAACCCAACATGCTCCTAATGTAACAGCCCAGTTGTCATCAGGACCATCTTCCAACTTGTCAGATCCACTGTCATCGCAACGCCAATCCTCCAATGTTTTTGGCCAATATGGAGACATTAAATCCCAACCTCCAATGTCAGTCAGTGACAAGGTCAACTCGGTGGGTACCTTTTAGATTTTTTTCATTGCTTGAGCACAAATCATAACCATTTCAGTCAATTACATCAACAGATCGGCACATTTTGTTTAATCTTGTCATCAGCGGGTAACAAACGGTACTTGGTTCAAATTGTTTAATTTGTAGTCTTTACATTTCATCTTTTCTTAAGCTACATTTGGACTTCTTCAAGTAAATGTTTAATTGCCTGTGTATTACATGCATCTATTGTACTATTTTTCTGCGCCATGTCAAATTATTTTTAGGTGTCACACAGTGCTATTGCTGTTGGATCTGATAAAGTCCTGCTTGCTCTTTTTATGAATGCAAGCTGTTTGTATGAGGCTTATGAATCTCTTCAGTTGGCGAGTTGTTATTCAACTTCATGACATGGATGGAATCATCAATGAGCAGCTGAAATTACTTTGAATCTCGTTATCATGTTTTATTTTGTGTAGATTGGAATGCCACCAGGTCCAGGGGCACCAGGCCAGGACTCAACAACCAGCCAACAAGCCCAGCAAAGGCCTCAACAACAACAACAACAACAACAACAACAACAACAACCTACTAAACCCACAAAGAAGAGGATGCCTCCACCATCAACAAAAGTAAACTTTAGTTGTCAATCTCAGTAAGCGCATAGTGACATTCCCTAATATGCGCTATATAAGAACTGATTACTATTATTATGTCGGCTTCAGATGACACCCGTTATCCCCTAGCCAGGTGTTCTCTTGCACAAACTTGGCATTGGCTTCAATTTTATGTTTCACCTATTTTCTTTCCAAATCACAAACTTATGAGGCCTCTATGCACCATTTCTCCCTCCCAAGGGGTAAAGGGAAGAGTTGGGGGACACTTGATAGCCGTTATCACCATGATCCAGGCATGCTTGCACAAATCTTTGGGAAATCCCTCCTATGTATGAGCCCTCATGTGGCATGGTGGCCCCAGGAATGTCAAATGATAATAAAGCATCCTCTCTCAATCTAGTATAAGGTCAGTTCCAGTGTTAGTTTGTGATTGTGATTCCAAGATTAGACTAGTATTGTGTTGAGGCATGCCTTCACAATTGAATAAAAGTATGAAATACCTTGATAGTACGCTGGGATTGTGTTGATAGATTCCATTGTTGGCTGTTGAGATGCCTGTCTCTGCACGTGGTATTGGGGCCTTAGATGTTCAGTTTGGTGCCATGGATCTGGATGCATCGGTGGATTTTGGTGTTCCTAGTATGCTCTCAGGAGTGTCAGCCAGTACTACATCATTGCAAGGATCTGTAGCTATGCCATCATCAGGACAGATGTCTATGCCATCCTATAGGTATGTACAGTAGCTCTGTCACAGGAAATGGTTGGAGTTTCAAGGGTCAAAGGTCAGTAGATCACAAAGTATCCAGTGTCAGTCATAGTTGTGACTTCATTACCTGTCTTTGGATAGAAATGATGCAGTCATCTGTAGAATGCGTCAGCTTGTAACTTTATACATTACCCATAGAGGTGTGGATCATTTCAGGCAGTAGTCAAGTCATTCAGACATGGCAACTGTCTACCATCAAACACCAACATTTAGTTTCTCATAGTGAGTTACCATGTAGTTTCTCATAGTGAGTTACCATGTAGTTTCTCATAGTGAGGTACCATGTAGTTTCTCATAGTGAGTTACCAGGAGTAAAAAGTAAACAAAAGATAAATGATCATTATTTCTGTGGAGTTTTTGCAAGCCTGTAGCTGCCATCACATTAAAAAAAATTGCAACATAGGACTTTCCTGATTTGTAACTCAGCCCTAACCCAAACCAAATCCAATTTTTCTTACCTGATACCTGCATGTTTGGATTGTACCATTCCAGTATGGGGGATTCAGTAGCAGTCACAGCACCCAGTCATTTGTCATCGTATCCCAACAAAGTGCAGAATGACAGTTATCCCTCCTCAAACATGAATGCATCACTCCTGTCAAGTAGTACATCAGCCTCGCCGGTATCAACAACTTTGGAGCAAAGATCAAGCTATGGACAAGTCCCTCCTAAGCAGGTAGAGTAGTGATTGATACAACAAGCTTTTAGGTCCAATATCCTGAGATGTTGCTCATTCACACTTGAATCTTTTACATTCAGTGCAATGTTGCTGTATCAGAGGATTTTAGACAGTCATTACTCCATCATTTTCCAGCTTTGAAGTAATGTGGTGTGTTTGTGGACAATGTATTGGTGCTAGATGTCCCTTACAAGTCCTTGAATGGAATCAACTGGTATTGAACTCACCAGTGACTTGTGTTAATCCAGGTCTTGTATGTCTATGATGTTTATCTGTTTTTGATGTTGACATCCATGTTGGTTGTGCATCTGTTCTGATAGATTGCACCTGAGCCAATTCCAATGCCCAATCAGACGCAGGTTGGTGGGTTCATGAACGCTCCGAAAACATCACCAACCCAACAACTGGAGAGTAAGTTTTCTGTTTTCACTAATATTGTTTCCCTACTGCATAGATGGAGATGTTTTAAAGGTTCTGTTTTCATCTGCTTCCATTACCCAAGTACATTCCCCAAATGCAAAGGCACTCTATCCTCAATCTTTCCTATTTTAGAAAACTTTTGTTGCATCACACACGATGCTGGACTACTTGTTTTCTTTTCTGATCCAGATAAGTCTGAGAAGCTGCCATCAGGTACCTACACGCCCAGTATTCCATTGCAACTATCGTCACTGAGTTCACACCCAACTAGTCTGGCTAACAGTGGTTTGTCTCAATCCCCAAGCGGAATGCAGTCATCAAGTTTACACACCCAGATGGGTCTCTCCTCGCACGCCAATCAACAGCTGAGACAGGTATAAAGTTTTGTGTTTCCAGAACCTCAATAAATCCATCAAAAAGTCTGAATGATTCAGGTTTGATTTACTGATTTGAATCATGACACCTGTTTTCTATCTACTCTCTCGACTCAATAGACACCCAATTCCTTCCATGTGACGAGTGCACCAACAACAATTCACTCACCAGCAAGTCTGTCCAGTGGCTTATCCAGCATATCACATGGTGGAGGATATACGTCCAGCCATTCAGCCAACTCAGGTCTTGCTGGATCTGCCCTCACCAGCAATCTTGGAGCGTCAAATCTTGGTGGTTCAAACCTGAATGCAAGTCTTGGAAGTACTGGTCTGCCAACATCCAGTCTGACAAGCCATTCAACCAGTGGACTATCGTCCAGTAGTGTCCTGTCAAGTGGACCGAGCACAATAAGTGGACTACCCTCAACCACACAGCCAGCTGGACTGTCAAGCTCGGTCAGTGGATTGGCTAGTTCAAGTCACTTGACAGGAATGCAAACGACTGTATCAAACACAATGGCATCACAGTCAGGTGGGCAGTCTACTCAGCTGAATAGCAGCAAACTGGGCAGTTTGGACAATCGAATGAACTCAACACAGGTCAGTTGAAAGGGCATCTTGCTCATCGTGGATACTGCTAATTTTTACCATTAACCTTCCTATGCTGAAGTCACTCTTTGGGTCATTTGGTGAACACCTCAAAGAAGTACAGCTGTGTTGTGTTGTGCACTGCACCAACTGTCCCTCACAGGAATATCAGATTGCACTTTTGTGCTTCCCAACAACTGTGCTTCACTGTTTCATGTGCATCATTGTGCAGTAAACCAAATGCAGTGAAGACGACTGCACAAAAGAGCCTGGGTCATTATGTGCTGACAACCAACTGTGTACACACTGAACCTGTGCATGTTTGAGTTCCATATAGAAAATACATGCTGACCAGTGACTGTGGGCATTTGTGAACATTTGTGCTGTAAAACCAAAGGAGGGTTAAATGAGACGTTATTTTGACGTTCCTCATATGGGAGCATGTGTCTGTGGGTCTTATGAGTGGGCTGCGTAGATGCAAGCACAGAGCCTGTGATCCTTGAATGATATTAAGAGTTTGCAGGATGGACATCATGGTACCTGTCCATTTCTTTGACTATTTCATAACCCTTCCAAGGCTCATCTGTGAATTTTCATGGCAGTGTATTTGGTAAAATGTCAATCACTCAAAAAAGTTTGAAGTACTCCAATTCAACTTATCAGCAATTGCCTTTTTACAACTCAGATATTTCACTTGTGGTTGGTACAATTATTAAAATAATATCTTGCCATTCCTGCATATATTCCTGTATGTAGGAAAACAAGAAATACCAAATAGTGCCTGAGTTGCTTGTTCATAGTACTCCAATTAATTCCACTACACTTTGTCTTCTCAGTCAAGTCAAATTATTTGAACTACTGTAAACTGAGTGTTTGACTCTGCATCCATAAATCCAGCGATTGAATACCAGTTGCTGGGCCAGAATTACTCACTTTTTGAGTTGAAAGTGCGTGATTCTGATGTTACACACCTCCCCAGCTCCTGACACAAGTTAAGTCTTGGCTGACATGATGTTATGATACTTTCGTTCTACTGACACCTTGTCTGAGGATGCAGTTTGTCTCTTCTGATCAGCCAGAACAGTAAAAGGATTTCTTGTAGATAGATCATAAAAAGGAGAGATATATCTCAAAGTTCTTGTTGTTTTTGGTTTATAGCACACGATGGATCACAGCCATACATCGTCCAGTAGCTTGTCATCGTCCAGTCTAAGTGGTCATTCCTTGACCACAACAAGCACCACAACCTCACTGACAACAGCTGGGTCATCGTTGGGTTATAATAGCATCAGTGGTATGTCATCTGGAATGACATCAGTTACTTCAGTGGGATCGTCTGGTATGAAATCGTCCCTTACATCCAGTAAGTTGACCACAGTGCTTTAGAACAATTTCTGCAAACACATATAAGAAGATAATCCTTGATCAGTCTTCATAGACATTAAGCATGACATATGGAAACATCATCTCAACCAGAATTGGTGGTTGAGATGATGTTTAAATCATTTTGTGACACTGATTTCAATGTCTGAGGACCCTAGTATCTCTCTGATTGGTCATGCCAATTTAATCCTGTGTATCCACTTTGCGCCAGGGTGCCCGGTACTGGAGACATGGCCCACTAGGTGGGGGTGCCTGAAATCAGAATTGTCTTTTTAAAAAAAGGTTGCTGGGCATTTTTAGAAAAAAGGACTTGCTGTCAGTCAAAAGTTTGGGCCATCAGCAAATTTGATTCCATCATTGATGGGCAACAATGGGATAACTGGACCGAAAAGCTGCAACTTTAGTTATGGCCAGAGTGACCGAACTTGGAAACAAAAGACCGAACAAACTGTTGGGACTTGTTAATTAAGGCTCGTATGCTGTTAGTGCAGAGTGCTGGCCATTAGCAGAGGAAATCTGTCATTTAAATATGGTTTTTGCGCTTACCCAACATATACAGTAAAATCTTGATAACTCAAAGTCGGTCAACTCAAAGAATAATTAATTCCCGCCGAAAGAATAGGCTTTTATGTACAAAACATATCCGTAACTGGAACTGCTCATGTTGCCGGATTCTTTGTGTAGCAGATCCAAAAGAAACCGCTGCCAAAATACTTCCTGAAAGTGTAAACAGAACGCAGGTCTAAATTATGAATCATTTCTGACACGCACACTTCGTCTTTTCACTGCGGAACACTTGAAAGCATGCTACAATGATGATCAATCTAGACACGTAAACCACACCGTGACCGCAAAATCCGACTTGCAGGAATTGGCCCAATTGTTACAGTGGACTTGTTGTAGCCAGTGCGTTGGCAGGCCAACTGACGGCCCTTTGCGGGGCTGCGGCGATGCATTGGAGATCTTTGTGTATGCCGCACGGGCCACATGTACGGAAGTTAAGTCTGGCCTAATGGTCTGGCCCAACTGCTGGCGCTCGCCCGTGCAATGGCTGCCCAATTAGAGCTGCAAACTACAGCATGCTCACGCTCAGTGGACCAACCACGTGACTGCAACGCAGAGCTTTTGCGTAGCCAAATCTCATGCCCAAAAAATTAACAAAAGTTTGAAAATAAAGAACGAAGAACAAAAAATAAAAACAGACACCCATAGCATTGTTATTTTTACGAACTTATATTGAAACGTTAAAATGTACACCCTCATGTGAAGAAAGATTTGCCACACAGTTTAAATGATTTACAGTACATGTAATGTGTTATTTATCAGCCGATTGACAGCAAAAATCCTCCGCAAAAATGACTTTCTATGAACAAAAACTTGTTGCACCAAAGTATAAAATAGCCACAATGTCATTTCAAAAGTCATCATAGGTAGATTTACGGTAACTGTACGTCAGCGTATTGGCACATGTTATGATACACATTGTAATAATGACTTCACTTCAAAAGAAAGGGGGACCTTCTTTTAACTCCAATTTCGGATAACTCGAATTTTTTGTCCATTCCCCAGAGATTCAAGGTATCGAGATTTTACTGTATTTATATTTAAATAATTGTTTTGAAACAGTATAATTGTTTGCTGCTGCCAGCACCTGCAGATTATTAGCAGGGACAAAAGCATGTGCTCCAGCGGTTAGCGGGAATTATGCCACACCCCATAATGGGGGCTCTTCACTGGGTTGCAGGCATGGCTGCAATACTCATGTGTTAATGGAGGTTGCCTGTCATATTAGAGTCGCCTCAGGACAGTCATTCTTTTGGGTTAACACGTCCAGTTAATGATGAAATGAATGAATATCAATAACTTTGCGCTGCGCGAAATGGGCATTGATTCAAGTCAGAAATCTACATTTAGTCTCATTAATCTTGACCCAAATTGATCATTTTCATCAACAATTAATTGTTTCTTGTCCTTGGCAGACAAAGGGCCGCCCAACTTGCCTCCAGGAATGCCATTGTTCAACCATCAGTACATCATGGGACATGGGCTGCTACCAGTCAACCCATTTGTGAGTAGCATCTGCAAAGGTTTAGATTTGAGGATTACATCCTTAGCCAGGAAAAGAAAATGATTTATGCCAGCAGGGGGGACATTTCAACAGCATTCCTAGTGTGAACCCATGCGTTGTGTTCTCTTACTCAGTAACACCAAGAGTTTTTACCCGCAGTCTACAGTCTGATTCACTGATGCCATTTACTGGCTGTGTCCTCCATTCAGAACTAAACTTAACATGTGCATGAGTTTGGTTACCAGTGCGCTTTGATTGGCTGAGGAAGCATTTCAATGCACATGTCATCTGTACACACACGTTGGGACACAGCAGTAATGGCTCCTGATTCTTGTTACTGAATCGGTCTATAGGGTACCGAAGTGACTGCGTCGCGCACACCATTATGTGTGTAAAAGGCATTAGCATGAGAACCAGTGCATGAATCAACAAATGCGCGCACTCCATTCATTTGCACTGCACTTCCTGGTTCAAATTAACGTCATGCTTCGGTACTCTATAGACCTTTTTTACCCACGTGACTAAATGTGAACAATACAACCACGTGTGGACCACCTTGGCCCCGTTGATCGTATGTATACCTATGGGCAGCTTCAACCAAGTGCAAGCCCACTTGCAAACGCTGCATGCTTGACTAGTTTATCTTGAATAGGTAGATTACCATCACAACACTATGCACTCATTCCCAGCACAACAGCATAGGTCCAGCACGATCGTGACATCACAGCAAAAAGGTCCAGCACGATCGTGGCATCACAGCAAAAAGATCTATAGGGTATGAAAAGAAAAGAATGCTGCAAAATCTGTGCTGAAGAAAACAAAAGCAAATATTAAGTTTCATGCAGTAAGTCAAGATACTCACGTACAGTTGGTAGTCACCCAGACCCAGTGTCTTTCTTTGCACTGTCATAGTATCCTCACTTTGGTGAGCATAAGACGCCCTCCTCCGATCATGCCCATAGCCATTAAAGTATGAGACAGGTCATGTTCCTGGACTCTAACAGTGTTTTCCCCCTAACTTTTGTGCTTAGGCTGCTGCTGCTACACATCAGCCTTTCTACAATTATGATGAACTGCAGCTACAGCTGTCCAGAATGCCTATTGTAAGTATCATCGATGCACCTACTGCCAGTGTTGAAGTCAAGTCTATCACAAGTCCTTTCACTAATCTAGTCTTTAGTTCTTTCTTTCATTTAGGTGCAGTAATAGGCTGCACAGCGACAAAGAAATGCATTTATTACAATTCATTTGAACAGTTTGTGACTTGGAGATTAGATGAGCGATGATGGGCTTGTGAGAGGCTCAACTGTAGCACTGTTCACTGCACAGTTTGGCTCCTAACCACTCACCGATTCTATTAAATGTGTGCTCCAAATTCAACCAAATTGACTTCTTCAATTGTCTCACCCTTTCTTTAGGATGAGATGATGTTATCACTTTCCATTCAGTTATTTGCCTGGCACCTTTGCACACTGTGAGTGAGATCAAATTGTTGGCAGTTGCCAATAGCCTGTATATATAATTTCACTTTGTACACCAGGGTTACTCCTATGATCTCCAACAGTTCCCGCAGCCTCCTACCACACTGACAAGCCGAGACGTGACAGCACATTCGACAGCACCGTACTCAGTGACAGACCAGAACAAGTTCACAAGGGGAGATGCTGCATCACCTGTTGCTTCATCGTTGACGTCACAGCAGCAACAGCAGCAACAACAACAGCAAACAGGTAGAAAATAAAGCAGATGAAACTTGTTGAACTCCAGAGACGAACAACTTTGTAATGTCCGTAATATTTACTATGTGAATTGTCATGTGATCACTTTGTGGTGAGTAGCACATAATCACCATTGTTATCATTTCTCTGTATATATGATATACTAGGCCAAGCAGGACATCATCAGACGCAGCAAGCAACACAGCAAGCAGCCTTCTTGAATGCAGCAACTGTTCCCCCAGGTTATGGCTATGGTGGTCTACCCTACTATCCTAGCCCAGGACTCATACCTCCTGGATTGTCATATCAACCTGCTGTCTTTCCTGCTGTTAATGCGGTATGTCATTCTGTGAACAGAAAAATGAACGATGACTGCAGGAATGTAAAGAACATGTTGATCAGTAAAACAGGGCCTTGTTTCATGGTCCTAACCCAAACATTTGTCATTAGACTTGCCTCCAATTCATTCTGATCTGATGCTGAAATTTATTAAGGCGTGTTTCCGTTGGATTTTTTCTTCCAAGGGAACGCGGAAACTTGCCGCGACATTCCTTTGTGTCAATCGCATTCCCACGTGGACTTTTTACTGTAAAGGAATGTTTATTCGCTGAGTTAGGCCAAGAAAGACCAGCTGATTACATTGCCTGTGAGCTGTACAAATCATGACGAAATCGGCAAAATCTGACCAAAAAAATGACAAAACCAGACAAATTCGACCAAGTCTGCCAGAAATAAGATGAACCCGTACAGGAAAGCCTCGTACACAATGTGTGTAAAGCTAAATCTGGGCATGCTTCACTGTGTGTGCGTGGCATGCTGCTATACTGTATGCATGGAGCTGGAGACTGGGAACCATACAACCATTTTCGCATGCCCACTATCGATCTCTGCGTAGGCAGTAGTCTGGTTCATAGGTTTAGCGTGGTTGCATCTACATTGTATGGGAAGTGTTCCCATGGGACTTTTTTGCACCCCTGCCAACTTACCATAGCTGCGTGGAAATCGTCCGCGACCCTTTTCGGCCTGTTGGTTTTACATCATGATCGCGGTAAGTTGACAGGGACTTTAGTGTGCGGTGTGTTTCCACTGGATTTAATTTTGCAATTCTACAGGAAAGTCGCAGTAAGTTAACCAAAAAAGTCCAATGGTAACACGGTTTTAGTGATGAGCAAACTTGTGTCGATTAGCCAACATTCCTTGCAAAGTGTTGAAATATGAGTTGTGTTTAACTTGTGTTTAAATTGAAATAGCTTCTCATAAAAAGAGAATTGAGAGATTTGAGTATTATTTCTTGTGTAGGTGCAACCCAACAACAGATCGCAAGCAGGTACAACGCCACATTCGGCATTCCAGCAAACAGCATATGGCCAGCATGGATCTCATGGGGCCTATGGTACTGGTAAGTTAGTAGCTTTGTTCTATAAATAGCTTGACCTCTTCCAGGAGGCTAGCTCATTGCAGAGGTCAGTCATCAGCCTTGATGACAAACCTAAACACTAAGGATCATTATACATGTGTTGACTTGTGTGTTGTCACGCTATATTTGTTTTTCTGTGAGTGTCTTGTTTGTCCGTCGTGTGGGGTATCGTTATTGAATCAGGGCACTTCACTATGACAGAAATAAAAACTTCCTATGATGCCTTGAGCACACGCAAGTTAGTTTCAGAATTGCCAACAAGCATGATCATTTTCATTTGTCATTCCTTACTTGCTTTTACATTGTTGCAACCTTGACTCGGTTCATTTTTAGAAGTCAGTGGATTTTTGTTTGATTTGTTACTCAGGATACGATGATTTGAATCAGTCGCAGGACTTCTCTAAAGGTGGATACTCAAGTGTGTCTCAGACAGGAGCTAAAGGCACTGGAGCCACAGGTAAGTCTGACATGTGTCTTTAGTCAATCTTAGTAACGTACAAGACTGGCTTGTTGCTCACAACCATCCAATATATTGACTGGTGGTCACTAGAAATGGAGAACCTTCAGAACCTGAAGATCATCAAGCATTGAAGCTAAAAATTGAATTAATAAGGCCCAGTTGTTGATCTGTTATGCGCCCTCTATTGCCAGTGAAGAATTGTCAGCTTTCATGGCATTATCATTGTAATATTGTGGCCGAACATTCAGTGTCCTGTATGACTCAATAACTATTTGACTTGTAGAAGATGTTGTCATGGCTTTAAAACGAGCAATTTCATAGGTCTCAAAATGTTGACATACTTCCTAAAGGGCTGTTCTTTAGCTAAATTGCAAAATTTGCAGTGCTTTTTAAACTTGATGGCATTTTGTTGCTAGTTCAGTACATATTTTTGCTAACATGATTTGAAATGGAAGAAATTGTGCTTAAAGGTGCCAGGTCTATGCAAGTCTTGAATCTACTTCCAATGTCGAGAATAAGTATTCAGTGTTTGTGATATATGACCCAGAATATGTAAAGGCACAAAAATAATCATGGGGTGTCATTCAGGGTTTAAAGTTGTTCTGTTGAAGAAATAACTTAATTTAATGAGATGAGACATTTATCACGACAAGTGTTCTTTTTAACCCTAACCCCCTTCACCTTTTTACTGGGAACCATCCTCAATCCTTCAAAATCCTCCGATTTTCGACATGAAAAAATTGCATTCAGCCTCAATCCTCTGAAATCATCCAAAATTTCTTGAAAATGATATTTGGATGTTTGCCTACTGCCTCAATGCTCCAAACTCCTCCCAAACCTCCTGAAGGATTTTGAAGGATTGAGGAGGGTTAGGGTTAATTAAAGAAGTTCACTGAAAAGACTCAGCTCAGACCTTGTACATATAAGTGTACCTGAGACAGTAATGCTATATAGATTGAACATGATCTGTGGTATGCCAACAGAAGTCTTGATCTTTTCTTTTTCATGTCTGACTCCATAAATCTCCCATAAATAATACTTCCTTCTCATACTCTTGACTACACTATTTCATACTTTTTGCATTCACATCTTTTCTTGTCACAGCTTTGTACAGTCAACTTCTTAGATAAACAACACTAACAAAATACTGTTACCAAGAGTAAATTCTGCAATTCCCTTTTTTTGTAATTTGTGTCTTTTCCACTCTTTTCCACTCTTTTAATGAAAGTAATTTGTCTGGTTCCTGTAACTTTGTTGAACGAGTGTTGACTATAAAAACTTCATTCCCTGGTGGTGCTCTCAGTTGGACATCTTTCTAAAAATTTGGACACCATTTCATTCTCATTCAGGCATTGTATTCTCATTTGGACACCATTTCATTCTCATTCAGGCATTGTATTCTCATTTGGACACCATTTCATTCTCATTCAGGCATTGTATTCTTATTTGGACACCATTTCATTCTCATTCAGGCATTGCATTCTTATTTGGACACCATTTCATTCTCATTCATACACCATGCTTTCATTTCATTTTATACTTTCTTGTGGTGTACATCCCTGTCTTTATCATTCTAATGAACTCTACTTTCTTTCTGTGTTTTTTTTCCACTGTCTGATTGCCTGACTTCATACATTGTGTGCTAACAGGACGTAGTTCAGGTAACTAACTCTTTATTAACAGCTTTAATAATGCAAATACCCTGGTGTGATCATAGAGCTCCTTGCTATAGCCTTCCTAACCCAATTATCCTTGAACTGTAAACAGGAAAGTTGGGACTATGAATTCAGTCTTGTTTTGAAGGATACTAGTTCTGACTTTCTTTGTGAAATGTTGCTACGTTAGCTAGGCATGCCTGCTGTCCTTGATAATTAATAGCAACTTTGCATGGCTCATGGCTAGCAGTTCTGTTTATAACTCATGGTTATGCCATTGCTTGTGTTTTTGGTAAGACCTTTTTTGAACTTCAATCTTCCAAATAAACACCTGGTATGTCAGTCTATTGATGGGTGGAGCACTGTACAGCCAGCCACTGTTGCTCTACATAGGGCTCAATGTCCCAGTTCTGTCCACACAGAATCTGCTATTTGGTGTAAAGTATTGGAATTTGGGAAAAGTAGAAAGCTTTTTAAGAGAAATGTTCAGCAACATAAATAGAATAATTTATACAGTGAGTACCTGTTGATGAAACTTCTAAGTTTTATCTCTGTAAAGTAATTTTGATAATTATGATGAAGTTTATTTTGACTTAATCACTCCTCTTTATCCAGTTTCAGTAACCTCTGCCTCAGCTGTGCCAGGAGATATGTCAGCCAGCACCTACAGCAACAAGGCACATTCTCAGTCCTATGCAGACAAGCAAGGCTTCCATACTGGTACCCCACCACCATTCAATTTCCCCATGGCTAGTGGGAACCAGGGAGGTCCTTTGCAAGCAGCGACGGGATACCCGCCCTTTGTGCCTGTATTGCCTCACAATACCATGCTGCCCCATCAGTTACACAGTGATGGACAGGCGGGGTCCACCCAGCGCTCACAGGGAAGTGGCAACCAAGGCAAGCCAGTCAGCAAACCACCTTACGGTGGTACCAATTACTGGAGTGCCAATTAAACAACCTGGTGATGACTCTTTAATCCCATACTTGACAGCATGACCTTATGTATAGTCTATGACACAATCTCAGTCCTGAGGTTATGACATAGACTTGTAGATAATTGTGGAAGTTTAATCTTGTTGTATTTACTGTTTATTGAAATGAAAATGCTTCATCACACTTGCTTTGCTTTAATTTTTTTGTCTCTTCATTGAGGTCAACATTTTATTTTTATCTTGTGACTTGTACACAGCTTTACTCTAGTTGCTTGTCTTTGGTTCTCTGTGATAATACAACGCTTTGTATGTCAGTGCGCCATTAGTTCCAACCCACTCACTACCTACTGGATTTGGTTCTAACTCCTTTCCTTTTTGGAAAGCATCAATGATATCATTGTCTGACTTCAATGAAACAACACTGTCTACCTTGCTGATGTGTTGTGTGTCAAGAAATAACCATTGTCGTGTGAACTTTGACCTCTGTGCCCATTTGACCATTCCCTCTCTCCTGTTCACATTGCATTCCTGCATGGCCTAATTTCTGATGTCGTCAAGCACTAAGTGTCAATCTCAAATACAGAAGAAGTCTTTGCACTGTATTTTTCAAGGACAAAATCTGGAACTTGTAATTTCAAGTTGTGACTTTGAGTACACTGACTCGGAAGTTAGAGTGCTTTGATAACCCTTAAATTGTTTACAAAGTCCATTAAATTTCAGAACTTCATCCATGGCTGTAAGTGCTGAGTAATGATTAGGTAAATACCTGTAATATGAGTTTATCTGCCATCGCATGACATAAATTAATCCACAGAAATATTCATTAATGAACTGAAATTTGGGTTGTTTGGGAACGAAATGATTGAAAGTCCTGCCTGAATGGCAGTTTTCCCCACAATAGTGTTTACAGTTAGATATCAAGGTATGTTGTCACCTTGCATACTCTATTTTTTTCAAAACTGTTTTGACACCATGTGTCCAAGTGGGAGTGGACTGACATGACTACATTGTTGTGTCAGGTTGTTGCTGATTGTGTTTACATTAACGTAACATTTTTAATAACATTAATGGTATCATTAATGTTGGAAGTACAAAGTGGCTTTTAGTGATTGAATACCAATCATTTAGCATCATGAGGAAGGTTCTCTTAGAGTAGCTCCTTTCATTGAGTCAGGAAAGCTGGTTGCTATGGAAATGCCTCATATTTGCTTTATCTAATTTATGTTAAGTGCTACAGAGTTCTGGCTTGATGAAAGTTGGTGTGTGTTTATGACACAGGTAGCTAGTTAACTAGTAAATATGGCAATATTTTGTGGTTAATGTTACAACTTTCTATTATTAAGCCTGTCCATAGCATTGTAAAGCAGTTTAAATTAATGCTAAAACCACCACAAAACACTTTTTTAAGCAAACAATTTACGTTGGTGCAAAGCTCATAGTTCACAGGAGCGATATTGTTTCAAAGCACAAGGGCTGAAGGCTCGTGTTGCTGCATTATTATAAACTTATAATTGTTAATAACTATACACAAGATGTAAATTAGTAAGAAAAGGTCATTTTTGACTTATCTTTAAATTAAAAAAAAAGATATATTTGAGTCGAAACCATTGACTTCATTTGCCCAGCCCTTGTTTACAGTGTTCAGCGAGGAATGTAATTGTTGCTCTTCTATGGTATGTAGTCATAATTTGAGAATTCCGCCAATAAGTGCATGGGATGTTCAAAACATGTTGTATAATCTGTGTGTATGTTTCCCGTAGCACTTTTTTAGTTGCAGTTTGGTTTTCAGTATTTTGTGCCTGATTAATCAGAGTGTGACAAACAAGAAGTCGATATTTTGTCTGTAATAAACGCAAGAAGCTTTTTCCTTCGATATGTAAAGTTGCTTTCCTTGGAATTTTCATTTTGTGTTGTATGCTAGCATAGATGTGTAGATACAAATGGCAACGAAGGCAAAGTATGAGTAGTTAGAATACAGTTTCTCTTTTTGGCCAAATTGGCAAGTGGTGAAGGAATCGATGAATTCATTTGTATAAATCCATCCTCTTTATGCCCAAGTTTTTCAGAAATTTCTTGAAAATCCTTGCAGGCCCTACCCGAAAAAAAAATCAACTCACCAAATCGATGGAAGACAGCATTAGACAATTTTGGAGTCATGCTTTTTATGACCAAAATTTTACCCTTCGTGTTAATCTAAATGTTCACAACTATACCATTGGTGTGATAGACTGAAATGAATCTCCTAGACTCATTACTTAACAGTAAGCGTATCTTACAATCACCAGTGTCTTGACTGATGTCTCGATATCATGCCCATATCATAATTCTCCAAGTCGTCATTGCAAGCGTCACTGACTGTGCAACACAGCGGTAGATGATTTGTCTAGAATGTGAAGCACGTAGCTCCTTGCCTGTGGTGTGGTGTGATGTCCATTAGCAGGTTCTCGTTGATGAATAAGGATTTGACAGTTGCATTTTTTCTGAGAGTAATTTTCTGAATCTGCGAGCTCCGAAAACTAAGGGCGAAAACTGAAATAACCGTTGACCGATTAAAGTATCTGATTCATGATTATACATATGCTATGTTTTGCAGAAATATGCAACTGCGATTCAGTTTTTTAAGGTTTGTGCAAAAGATGAGGCCTTAGCCGTACTCGCGTTCTTCGAAAACTTAATTTCTCTGCTTAACATCGCCTATCACTGCTTGAAACCCTTGTGTCATTTTAGGTGATGGTTGATATGAGTAAACCGTTTTTCGAATTTTCCGAAACTGTTTCCAACTTTGAACTCTTACTTTGCATCACTCGTAATCTGGTAGGAGTTTCTTACATTACTGAAAGCAGAAACAATGCACCCTAGCTCTATACCCCTCTTATAGCCTTCGCGTCTGAATAGCGTCTTGCGCTGGACCATCCAGACCTGTCGTTAGCTCGGGTTCTTTTGCTCAAGGGAGATCCTTGGTAACCTTATTAAGGTCCAGGTTTGCCCCATTATTCCGTTTTCGTCTGTAGGTCCAAACAGTCATTTTGCGCATCTGATACTTTACTTCGGCCTTTCAGTCTTGGGTAACATTTAAGTCCTCTGTCATCTTGAGGTCCACGGTTACGTGGTGATGTCATGTAAACTTTAGATCCCCGCTTTTATACTGGCCTTGTATACCCTCAGAACAAGGTCCGTGTTCATGTCATTGGGTCTAATGCTTCTATAAAATAATGTAGTCAAATCTCCAAACCAGGGACGTAAACAAGGTTAATACAGACGTGTAGTATGGACTAAACATTCTTCCATTTACAAATGTATGTTATTTCTCAAATTCTGTCGACGTGATGTAGTTGACGTGCCCCTATCGACCTCCACAAGATAAGACAAGTGTGTACGTGATGATATCGAACATTCTCAAGATTGTTTACGAGATATGTTGGCAATAGTCATGCGATCACTAAGTCTTGAACATTGTCTGTATGTATGGATATGCGAGTCTTATTACTGGCCGTTGGAAGTATCTAGTTTCGTTGACTAAGCTATACATATGTACATTTTGTTTTATTCTTATAGTTTTTTCTAGCCGGGAAGGAAAATAGACATTTAAACAAATTACGGGGAAATGTCGTGTGTTTTTTCTAAACGCTTAGGTTTACATTGTCACAATGAATATAATTACACATCAAACCACAGATAGTGACAAACACAAAGATAATTCTGTTGGTATGGTTGCTGTTTTATTTTTGAAGGTATAAAAAAGTGTGTCGCTAAAATTAAACATATCAAAGTTCAGTACCTGACAAGCTTGTTATTTTTTTTATCATAGCCAAATGCCAATGTACACGAAATGAAAGATAAAACAGCACTTTGGATTCGGCTGTATAAACTTTTTTTCTTTGGTTACTCGCTCCGATCCTTCCCGCTGTCGAATGGACGAGTCTAATAAGTCGAGCAGTGACGTACGACAAGGATTAGCACGCGACTGGTTCATATCAATCCCGGGGGATGTAATAATGGGGTAATCGTCAAAGACTGTTTGCGTTAGCTCTGTTAGCCTCTGCAATCGAGCAGTTACAACATCTTGCGACCGTTCGTGCAGGGTTAAGCAGTTTGCTATCTTCCCCAGACGTGTTTCTTCAAACATGGAGCTATTAAAAAGCTGCACAGAGTCTCCATCTTCAGAGATACAGCGTGAAGCTCAAAATGCCGTAGATGGAGAGCCTGTAAAAAGTAACGCATTGAAACAAGTCTAGTAGCGGCTGTATAGTCTGATGACCCACTTTACATGTGCATGTGCATTGAGTACACATGGTCTCCAGCGCCAACGGGGACCGCGCAGTGTGGTACAAGTTGACGGTTCTTTTCAACCCGCAGACGGTGCTAGCTTCAGTAGCTTCTTAACAGCACTGTTGAGTTGCGGTGACGGCTAATCCATTTTACAAAGACCAATATCCCACTGGTTCGGCGACAGGACTTGCTTAACAAAGCCGGGTAGGTCGGTGGAAACCTTGGAGCGAAGCAGTGGTTGGAAAAATTCACGGCAGCCCTCCATCATTAAAACAGCTATTAGTTGTATGCCGATCATTTCACATGGATCAAGGCTCTCGCCATTTTATTATTGCATGATGATTCGTGTGAGTAGAGTTGCCCTCTTCCTCAGTGTGAAGAAGTAATATTGTTTTGACAAGGACAGCGGAGTAACCAGCCTACCACTGCATCAATCTCTTCAAAGGAACCAGGATTTACTTTTATTAAACACTTCAGATCTGAAGTCAGTCAGGAGTGTACAGTCAGTCAGCTTCATCGTGTCAGTACCGGTTCGCGGACCGGCCGCCGAGTGCTACCGTTATTTTCGTGGGATGAACAATGTCCTATCGACCCATGAGAAGTCGCAGTAGCGGAGCTAGCGGGATGATCGTCCCGGAATATAAGATAGCGCTGCTGGGCAGCTTAGGAGTTGGCAAGTCGGGTAGGTTTGGAGATGAGTCTGTTTCCTTGCTCTGTAATGTAAACACGTTCAAGGTACTGTGCTGCTTGCTAAAGCTACTTAGTGGATCAATTTATGATCTAATTTTGTGTAAACAAGCATAACAAGACAATATGAATGTGTCGTAATTCTTTTAAAAAAGGTTAACCATGAAGCATTCCATCATGTCTTTGAGTGTTTCTTTCAGCTCACTTGCCAGTCTTGTAAAATGTAAAAGATTAGCATCTCAACTACAGCGTAAACGTGCTTGATCGACATGATCGATCTCCGTAGCAACTTGCAAATTGAAATCCTCTTATCTGTCCAGTGTTTGATTAATTTCGACAGAGGATGCGAAGATGATTACTGATTCAAAGTTTAGACTGGGTATACTGTATATGCAATTGTTTGAACCCTAGAGTCATACACAGGTTATTTCAACTTATTTCGCCAGTGTAGCTAAAAGACTATGTTCATTCTATTTAGCACGTTGATTTCAGAGGCAAGAAATGTATCGACGGAGTTTATTTCAAATTCGCTGACTAGTCGGCGCCGGTCGGCAATGCATTTCTCTGGACGTAACTTTTAAAAGTAATACTCCTACAAATAAACTTCTCACAATTTCTAAACTTCTTTGCAAAAGACGTGCACCTGTTGAATTTTTAATTTTAAGGTTTCTATTCTCCATACCTGAACCGAATATTGTACCCTGCAAAAAGCACACAAATGACATGCATGTCAGAAATGACAAAGGCGCGAATTGATTTTCTTACAGGAAGATCTTTTGAAAACCACATGTCAAAATATTCAGTGGATCTAATCTATTGATACATAAAAATGTGTTACTTTGTTCAGGTTTCCATTGTGGTTGTTACTACATATTTTTCTGACAAACTTTGAATCTTGTTTGCCGCTGCCTCGAGGCATTTTTACTTCTAAGGTGCACAGTAGGCGTTGTATCCACAAGCCATTCTCCTGATGCATTCCATACGCCTTGCTTTCCTTTGTATCTGGCATACCGATGCAGTTCTGTTGTTTGCCGTCTTGCAAACATGCTAAAACAGTTTTAGTCAGTAAATGGTCAACAGAAATGTGCTCGCTTCGTGTATCTTAACAGAGAGTTATGTTGATCTGACGTTTTTGGCAGTTTGTTAATCTGATCGGTTATTATTCTTGATCGCTTTTGTCTTCAAGAGAGCAGAGGTAGGAGAAGAATTTGCATCTAAAACGGTTCATTTTTAGCAGAAAGGTTGACTCAGGTCTTCATTTCCTAGCACTGTGATCCTTGAAAAGATTAGGAAAAGTAAAATATTTGTTAAAATCAGAAGATATACCGCAGACTTTGAGGTCTAACCTCTACCCATCCATGCAGCTTTATTTATGCGTGGGCGTTATCGCACTACATTCATAACCTCTCTCCCGTTGTCAGCATAACCAGGGTCATAAGGACACTCGACAGTAATGTTGATGGCGATTTCCAAATCTACAGTAACCCACCAGAAGCGAAGTTCACCTCTGCTTTATAGCACTGATGGGTCATTTGGACGTCGTAAACTCCCCACGCCATTCGAAATGGGCAATTCTTACATTTGTTTATCCAAATACATTAGTGGAACACCAAAAGCTTGAAGTTTTACAGCCATGACGTGAGACGTAATTATAGTAATATCCTGGGATTTCCAAAGAGACAGAAAACATAAAAGTAGACAATCAAAATTATTTTGCCGAAATGCCACCCAGGAAGGCACAAGGATGCTGTAAACTTTGGAAATAGCCGTTACTATGTTTCATAAGGACACATGCATAAAGACTACATGTTTAGACAAGGTACCGTTATCGCTAAACGCCATGAATTCATTCCGTTAAAATATATAAAACAAAATTGGAAGGAACATTCACTGAGTCTCTAGGGCGTTTTCAGAGGACTTTAAAACATGAAGGTGCACATCAAGTGCATGTATGGTTAGTATCAATACTTCCTTGATCGGAGAGCGAGCAGTATTAGGGAAATTAACTCTACGTTAAAATTGGTATTCGTTGCCTTCGAACATTTGAACCGTGCTGCAGAATCGATAGCGAGCGTATTATGCTATGCAGAGAGGAGCTCCCTCAAACGGCTGGTGTGACCGAACACTGCCAACCAGTTTTGTTAGTGTCCTAAAAAGCCACTGTTATTGACAGAACGTGAGGCAGCATTATGGTGCCAAACTTGACCCACAAATCCCATTTCAAGTGTTTCAATTCCTGATACTGTATTAAATAACATAGGCTGAAGAATAGAGTGTATAGTGCTGATAATTATTTCCCCTTGATCCGCTTCGAGCAGAATAAAGAGGGCGAGTTTGGAATTGAATTTGACAGTCTATACGCATTCACCGCATAGGCACGCAAGTTTATGCGCGTTTGACGCGGAGCACGCCGAGTACGCACAACGAATTAAGGCTGGAATGTATGGTCTTCACGTGCAAGCAGAACGCGTGCAAGAACTTAGAACCCTCTGACTTTCTTTCGCCGGTGAGGGTGCACTTCAGCTCGGGGCGGTATGACTAATCAGGCCCGTAGGCCCGTAGGCTGGGCGGGGGGTCAAGGGGTTCGAACGAACCCCCCACCCCCGCTGGCTTCTGAGTTCCGCTTGTTGGTGGTCTTTTGTGTGTGTGTGTAGGCCCTACTGAATATTTAAATATACCGTAGGACCCAATATTCGGCATACGAGCCACGGCTTATAGTATACGTTGATTCTCAAGCTCAAGGTGACCACGATTCTGCCTATTAATGAATCAATCTCTAGTCATATACACCATCAGGAAGTTCCGGCAATTATCCACATTTCAGTTGTTTCAGAGGGTTTGAAATCAATGTATTTTTGTTAAGTTTATTCAATATTGAAATCTACAGTGTACAAGTCTTCCATGCAACCTTTGGTTCATGACAGACAGGCAACTTTTCAATGCTGTTTTCCAAAGCACATTGTGATAGGCCTTTGTATAGAAATATGAGTTAACAGTGCCAAAAGTTCCACTTTTTGGTTTGACGACCCCCCCCGTCTCTGGTCAGGCAATGGGCCTGCTAATCCACAGACATATATACACATAGACCACGAGTTTTGCGCATGTAACCGTGAGTTTATAAACCGTGGGCAAGTAATGGGCGAAACGACGAATGGCAGTGCGTCTATTGCGAATTGCGCGTAACGCATGCATGAACTGGGAATGTATGTATTTGTTTACATAGGCTCTAAAAAGACTCTCTTGTACTGCTATCTCTTCTGTTCAAATGTTGCAACCGCACTTTTTCGAATCTGCATGGGCAAGATTAAGTAAACAGGGGATTTTTTTTTACAATCAAAAAATGGCTTCATAGAAGTGTCATCTGTGTGTCCCTATACCAAGGGGTGAATTTGCCCACGTTTTGGATTTAGTCGGGTGCCGTCTTGGCTACGGTACCCTGCCGTTGTTTTGAATAGGAGCTGCCCGTCTATGTGTTTTATATGTCTTTGGACTAATTCGATTAGACGCCAAAACTAGGGTAGCACCTCACTCACACGCGCGTTTTTCAGCTTGACGCGCTTGCATTTGGCAAATACGCCTATTTGTTGAAGAGGCATGTAACGCGCGCGTGTACCACCCGCCCACGAGTGTATGCTACTGCAGTGATATCTTCTAATTCTGGCCGAATTACACTACAGCGCGTTAGTAATTGGACATTGTGGCGTGTGAATCGTCCTATTTAATCAATGGTGCAACGACGGAGAATACTATATTGAGGAAGAAACCACACAAATGTCGAGTCTGCAGGTCGGCCATGCAAAAGTGTCTGACGATTTAACCGCTTTTGTTTGCGTTTTTCTTTTTATACCTCAATTTCTGAATAACGAATAGTTGACATTTGGCTCTTGGCGTTTCGTTAAAACAGCCTCATTCTTAAACACCCACGGGTTATAGATTGAAATTATCTGGTCTTCAAATTGACAAAAATTTGGGAAAGAGACATTGAACTTTTTTCTATTTCAAGTGGTTTTGGTAACTTTAACAAGCAGTTATTCGAATTTTGAATTATCGGTGAACAATTGACAAAATGTTATTCATTTTTTTATTGGAAAATGTCCGTTTATACAAAACAAGAGTACAAACCTGCTGGGTCGTTTTCTGGATATGAAGTTAAGTGTATTTTGTTTACTTGTTAAGATAATGTGCTTTTACTTTTTATTCCCTTTAGCACTGACAGTAAAATTCATCACAAGACGGTTCATCAATGAGTACGACCCAACATTAGGTAAGTGCACGGGGCGTGCACAAGATATTTCTTTGGATAAGACTTGAAGCTATGCGTGGTGGAAGTACTAAATTAGGTTAGGCTTGCGGTTGCACCATGTGCAAGAAAATATCTCTTTTATGAGTGTGTGGTTCTGAGAAGACACTCAACGTTCTGAAGAGTATGCTCTGTTCGCCTTCAGGACGGTGACTGATATTTCTTGTTCTGTTTTTTTCTGTTACTTCCTATGGACCTTTTCAACGATAATTGTAAATCCATAATTATGCACGCATGTGCATAAATGGCTACGGCAGTTATAGGCTTGAGCAATCCATCGGATATGTATAGGGGTACAGATTGCAACGTCATGGTCTCTCATGTCCTGCACAAGTTTTTTCCCCATCACAAAACCCTCTATCATCATGCATATGTAGCTGTTAAATTCTGGTCTAAATGGGGTTGAAGGAGTTCAAAATAAGTACTTCCAAAATTTCTTTTGCCCAAGCGCACGACGTCAACAGAAATAAACATGGCTTTCTGTTAATTTGTTGTTTTTTACCTCGGAAAAAGCAGATGTTTGATTCCTCATTTCGTACATTGTAACAGCCTCTTAGAGCAGAAACTTTCAATTATTACAATATTACTGGGTTTCCTGAAGACTAAATGAAAAACTCGGAGAGTCTGAGAGCAAAGTGACCGCAAAGTTTGTACCCGTGTACATTTTCGGTGGGTAGCTTACGCTATTGCTGCCAGGTTCATTTATGCCCATGGTTCATTTCGTGTAATTATGAAACGTATGTTCATGTACTAATCAGTTGGAAACGGAGTCATTCATTTTTGTGCCTGTCACAAAAATACACACTTGTCATTTTGTATATTTAGATTTACCACGTAAACACACGTACTCCTGGTGCATTGACACACCAGACACGGGACATGCATTGGTTTGCAGTCATTCAATTTCTTTGAGTTTTCTGTCATGATATCGTTATGTTGGAATGGATAGCAGTCAGTGTGATTACACTTGCAAAGACCTTACCATTTAACTTTCATCATTTAATGGCGTGTCACGAACGTGACGTACCCTCCTGTATTTCGGTCACCTATCTGAGTGTTATTATGTTTAGCATTAGTTTTGCTCCTGCCACACCCTCTCGTTTCCTCGTTCTCATTTACAATGAGAAATCCTCCATCGAGTCAGTGTCTCGTTTCGGCAATATTGTATTCTAATGGAGCTGGTTGTACGTGTACATTATACATGTATTAGTATCTTATCCCCGTGGAGGTATTGTTGATATATTACCACCAATCTTGGAACGGCGGCTTTCCCGATCGCATGATATCCCTACAGGCTGTCTAATTCGTAGCAGTCACCCATTCACTAAATTATTGAATTTTATTTCGTCCATATGTTGTTCCCGTTGGTATGTACCCACGAAAACCCCTAGAAAATGGTAGCTGCAATTGACATTGCGTGTCAAGGTTTAGCGACGTCCAGTGGGTGTTGTATGAACACATGGTGACGATAAATCATCCTGAATGCTCTGTAGCACGTGCCGTGTCGACTTAGAGACGTTTACCAGAAACGCGCTGAAAACTTATAAATCTCTGCTCAAATGTCCCCACAGGCGTCACAAATTGCGCTGTAAATAACATACTGTCCATGAAGACTCTTTTGGAAGTCTCATGCATGTGTAACGTTATTTGCCTTTCAGCATGACCTTTTTACTGTTATCGTACATCTGAATTCCTTACCTTTTGTTGTTTATAACGACATTAGCTTAATTTTCACTGCAAGTAAAAAATGCAACAGAGTTTGACCGTCTTATAAGCCACGAGGGCACCGATTGGTGACTTTTATTGACATGTGCAGTTGTAAAATCATTTCATGTGCAATTCGTGAAGATTGTTGTATGCCTTACCGACCTTAGAATCTGTATGAACCGCTTACAATTGGTTCACTGCAATAAGTAAAAATTAATATTACTCCAACAAAAGTGCAAAAGCTGTTTTAAGATATTTGAACAGCGCCCCCAACCATTCATAAATTTGTTCATTTAAAAGAAGCAGCAAATTACTGGATATTTTACTTAGCATAGGAACATGATCTATGAGGCTTGGATCTTACTAGTCTTGTTTCATCAATACAACTCTGGTAAAATTACATAAATGTATGTAGGCAACCAACTAGCTTGGCTAATTGTCAGACATATAATGAGGGTCTATAGGCGTACTACGTTGAATTCTAGCGTTGGTTCGTTTTATTGTTTACAGGAAAGACGTCATCAATCACCCTCAATATTTTTGCGATGTAAAAGCCCAGTAAAAGGTTGAGAAATAAGTGAGATTGTATGTGTTGGCATGTACATTATACGTTCACTTTGGCACGTTCGTATAACTGTGATCAACAAAATGCTTCGCAAATTGTTGACCCAACTGGGATGCTTTTTAGATACCAAAGGGTGAAGTGACTCAAAGTTCGTTCACTCTCATCAGTTCAGTTCTCATTTCGTTGTTGCAAGGTTGAGAGTTCCTCGATAGCAAACAGATGATTTGAACAATTGATAGAGTCCATCAACAATTGCTACCTTCCGTTAAAGACCAAGAGGAGGCTGCCGAGGTCCCTTTAAATCGTAACATGTAAGACCACTGACACAGGCTCGTTTAATTTTAAGTTTGAGAAGTTGAGATTCGCATCTCTCCTATGTATTGAAAAAATTAAATTACAGGTTCTAGATCTTGAGATATTTGCACAATTAGTCCTTGATATTGTGAATACTGCTTTGTTGGGCTTCTGATGTGTACTGAAATGTTCATGGCACATTTTGATAAAGTTTGTATTGTAGTTTTCTCGTCTTTCAATCCGGTTTTCCTGGTTCCAATGCTACCTTTTAGTTGTACTCGATGTAGATTGGTGCCGTAGTATGCTCCATCGTGAGGTTTTGTCTTGAATTGATTCTCCCGTGTCCCTGTTCCCAGTTCCAACTCGATACGAATAAACCTCATAGATTGGATTCGTCAGTCTGTACTCGATCGCCCAGGTGTCCTTCACACTGTTTTGTTAGGAGTCTTGGCGCCAGTGGATTAAAGAAATAGTTAATAGATCGCCATATTGAAATGGGATTTTATTTTCTCGTTTGCTTTATCTGGTCACTTTATTCAGCATTATTTCTTATGTCATACAGTTCTTAGAAACCCGTGGCAAAATATTGTCTTTGGAATGTGTAAGCGCAGCTGTTTTTGGTGTATTTGTTCGCCAACGTTTTATTATTTCATCATAAATTATCTCGAAGGCAAAGTGTCTCCCGGGATATTGGTTGGAATTTAAACCCAAAGATATCGCAGACTTCGCGCTTTGATCGAATCTACATTAGAATGGGTTTTTACGGTGTTGTTGGGCTGGTCAAGGACTCATTTACTCTTGCCTTCTGCAAAATCCGCCATCTTGGAATAGTGTTTTGTGTCTGGGATGAATCATTCGGTTTAAAGATGTTAAACAAAACGTTCAAATGAAGTGTTGAGATTTTTAATTTGTAGCTTATGTCCTCAGCATTCATAGTTGGACTCTAGTATTATATTGACTATGCCTATTCGGCGTAATAAGGGCATCCTATTATTATAACAATTGTCGTCATGCTTTTAAATTAATATTCTCACATTGATTTGATTGGTTAGAGCCCATAGTGTGACTTGGCCAAAATCACCATTACAATATGAGAAATGTTTTTGAACACGAGAAAAGGTTGTAAAGGGTTGTAACAGTCTAACTTGAATAGAAAAAACCTCTAACGTGAGCACTAAAGAAGGCTTGATTCAGATATATAAGATTTTCTCTGACTGATATAGAAACTAGGTTTTCTCCAATGTCTTGTAAGTGACGTTCGCCATTCTTAATTGAATAGTTATCCGACTTTTGTCATCCGCTCGATGCATCTCCAGGATCAGCACTATTCACACTGAAACCTCAATAACACGCTACAAATTACGTGTCGAATCACATAAATGTTGACTGTCGATCCTACCAAACAGATTTAAGATTCCATCACGGTTGACCAACTTAATCCATGGCCCCATCGCCTCGCAAAGCTTCGGAGTTAAAGTCTACCCGAGGTGTTCGAATTAATACCGGTGGCATTGGAGTGAAAGGAATAACAAGTAACAAATTGCCCGATACATAATTATTTTGCAGCTACATACAAACAGATTTAGGACAGAAGTTTGAAAATTCATTGTTTAGAACAACAAAGTTGGTTTGCTGGAGGTTGAAAAAGGAAGTATGTTACCGTGTTAGAGCTCAAAATTTTCACAATTTTTGTACTCCTTGGTTAAGGTCTCTGAATGGTTATGGAGACATGTAATTGAATTGGGTTGTTTTCAAATAGTTAAAAGCTCGACGGGGCTTTGCATGCACCGTTTTCTAGGAAGACGTGGACTCGATGAGAGGGATTGATAGCTTAGAGTCTTAACTTGAAGACTCGACGATGCGATTGGTCATCAAAGCTTGCAGGTCTTGTGCATGCTAGCAACAGGCTTCCTAACGTGGGACACATCACATTGCTTCATTAAGACTCCATAACTGACAGTGTTGCTTTGACATCGATTGGACGCCAAAGGTACTCAAGGTCTTGTCAACATTTTGGCTTACCTGTCTACAAAATTGTTACCCGAAGCACATTCTGGTATGTCAAGAATGCACACCTGATGAGTTGGTTTCAACTATAGCTTTTAAGATTTAGAAAGACGATGAGGATAGCTAGTGAAGGGCAAGTGATAGCTTTTGTACAAGTATCGTTGTATTGTCCATCATTTAAGTATTGTAGACCCCTCAAAATCCACTTAATAAAACTTTATCACAGTCTGCAGTGACGGCCCTCTTTCGTTTCCTTCTTTTTGAACTTACAGGCACATTGCATTGCCAAGTCTTGTTGATAGCAGATGCTTCATCAAACTTAAAGTGAATCATTTTAAGTACTCCGCCCCAGACTAGATCCCTTTGTAGTTCATTGCGCCATTTTGTATGC